ATATTGCAGAGTCTTTCTATAACATACAGTATTTTGGATCCTAACCTTAATATTTAATCTGATAATTTTACAAAAAAATATATTGTAGGGTCTTAACGTTAATATTCAAATTAGTCTGGTAAATTTGGATAATAAATAATATTGTAGGGTCCAAATTTCATGTCTATAATACTTATGTAAACGTGTACCCTTTATGATCCTCTTTTATTTAAGCTAATGAGGCACATTTACATTGTTTAGAGCTGTATGGTCTTAGCCTTAATATCTAAATCAGTCAGGACATTTTCTACATTATTGTATGGTCATATTGTGAGTATTTAAATTAGCTAATCTGTATAATAAATAATATGGCAGAGTTCTAACCTTGATATTGAAATTAGTGCATTTATATTTCATACAGCTGACGACACACAGTCGGTCAAGTCTGTATAATAATAATACTGTAGGTTCTCAATCTTAATATTTAAAATAGACAGAAAATTATATCATAATATTGTAGGGTCTTAACCTTCATATCAGTCAGGAAAATGTGTATTACATATCACATTGTAGGGCTTTAACCTTAATATTTAAATTAGTCAGGTGAATGAGGTAAATTTGCATTAGAAAATTGTAGGTTTCTGAATTTTAATATTAATGTTCGTTAAATTCGACATAATATTGAATAATCCTTCATATTTAAATTAGTCCAGTAGATTTGTGTTTCTTAACCCTAATTTCTAAACTAATTAAGTCAATTTAATAGGGACGCTGTGTTTACATGTTCTACACAAAAACCTGATTTGACGTGACTTGGTAATGGGAGCAGCTCCCTCTGCTGGACGCCACTCACACTACAAATGACCACGACTGCTCATCTGATAAGAAAACAACACAACAACTGGGCTGTATGTCACAGTTCTATTTGGATGGTAACTTGTACAGAAGGCACCACAGAGAAACAAAAAAACAAAAAAAACATTTTTCAGGCACTAAATTTCCTCCCTGGAGGGATAAACAGCAAACAGCTCAGATCTCCTATAAGTCGCCTCACATTCAGCTCAACACATTAATGCACTAAAGTACAGTTAAGTTACATTGCACTGAGATAAAACCTTTTTTTAAAAAAAGCACTTAATGATCACAGTTTTTGTTTTTTAAAACAAGTATGGCTTCTGTAAAACAAACGTTCAAGGCTTTAAGAATAAAAACGAACAGGCTGCTGACTTCAGTGCAGTAACAAAGAGCAGCTACAGTACATGAACAGAAGTAAACAGTGTGCTGTTCTCAGTGTGCAGCTACCGTTAGCTTAGCATTCGATAATAAGTCTGCATAGGCTTTTTTCTTTTTTTTTATATTGTGCAATAAATACTGATTGTCTTGTGCTGCTGCGCAGCCTCATAGCTCCGGTTTGGTTTTGGTCTAATCAACCCTCGTGTTTCTACCCAAACGTCACACATGCAGTAATACAGGATACAAGCTGCACTCAGGCAACGAGCGCCGTACCGGTAGTCCGATAGACTGTAAACTAGGACGATTATCTCCGTTAGTTTGTTGATATATGTCTCGATTAATCCATTAGGTGTTTGGTTTAAAGACGCTGTGTCTCCAGCTGATTTAAGAAGCTGGAATCTGAGAGTTTTGACTCAGTCGATTATTCAAATAGTCGACAACTAATCGATTAGCTCTGCTGTAAACCAGCCGATTGGTGTTAGTGCATTAAGGCAGTATGTTTCCCCACTGATCCCACCTGTAGGCACTGGAATATCTGGCAGCACTACCTTGTTCTTGACACTTTTTTGTTTTTTTTTACAGCGTACTGTCCAGCGTGTTGTAGTTGTCCTTGAAGCTCTTCAGCTCCAGGAAGTGTCTGCGACTCTTGCTGCGCTGCTGCATTGTGGAGGTGAGGTAGGTGGTCTGGGTGGGGGAGGAAGGGGAGGCGCTGGAAGGCTCGGAGCTGCCCGTCAGGTCTTTGGCTGCGGATTGATGGCGCTGGCTCGGGGTGCCGCCTCCGACGCCGCCGTGAGACTTCACACTGAAACAAGGCAGCGATAAACAGGTTGATCCCGCTTCATAATTAACATTCCACATCGGGATTAAAAGAAAAAGCAGCGAGAGGCAAAGTCCTGTTTACTCACATGGAGGCCAGTTCGGTTAGAGCTTCCTGGTATTTCAAATATTCTGCTTCACCAAAGGGCTTAAGAGAAAAACAGGAGACAAAGAAACAACATCAGCAAAGACTCTGAATCCAGAATGCAATCTTCACTTTACTTATCTCTCTTTAAAAAGAGGAAATACATGTTGATGCATCTGCAAGTGAAAACAAATCAAAGGACTGACTCGTGAACAAAAGTTTACTTGTAAAGACGATGTACAATTGAAACCAGAAGGTTACAAACACTGTATAAAAAGAGATAAAACCTTTTCTTTCTCACTGTCTGACATGAAATCTTTTCCTGTTTTAGGTCAGTCA